CCCCAAAACCCCAAAACCCCTTTAATCATGAGTAGAGCAAGATACAGGTAACGATGATTATGTATTGATAATGTATTCACAGATCTAGAATTAAAGGAGGACAATAATTTTAGCTATTTCTACTTTCATGTGGTGAGCTTCATGACGGCTTGAACCATATCGTCGTTGGTCTCTCTTAGTGCTCTGATGGCAGCGTTTCTGGTGCACTTGGTGTGGTCGATGACCATATCGATGTGTGATGCAGTGAGTCCATCTTCGCTAAGTGGGACTGAATCATCCTCAGCTTTCTTATCCTCCTCCTTTGCGTCAGCGGTGGCTTCTGGTTTAGCTTCAGCGAACTTCTTGGCTTCTTTTTGGGTGAGTCTGCTGTTGGGGTCCTCGAGCTTGAGCTCTCCGAAGATGGCATATGAGTTCTCGTTGGTGCCACTCTTAAGAACCTCTGGGTCGTTAATGACGAAGATGAGTCCGTCTCTCTTTCTGAGGGCAACTCTGGTAATACCGGTAAGTTGTTTCATGCCTAGCTTGATGAGTGACTTTCTGCATTTCTTCTCACCTCTGTTAAGCTTCTTTTGCTCCTCAGCTATAAAGGAAAAAAGGTTAAAAACATGGAATTCCTAGATTTTGCAAAATTTTATTACTTTGGTTCTCAAGATCTGGCATCTCTATAAATGAAATTAAGTTAATGTTTATTATTACTGTCGTGATCGTGATCATGGTCGTGGTGATCGTGGTCATGGTGGTCATGATCGTGACCGTGGTGTTCTTGATCGTGCTCCTCCTCAGTCTTAAACATTTGTATTCTTTAGATATTTAATTAATATAGACCTTGTTTAAAATTTTGAATATATATATTTAGTAATATTGAAAAAGGAATGATAGATTAATTTTAATATGGAATCATAAGTCATATGCAAAATTTAGCCTCTCTTGGTTATACCTGAAAAGATTACTTTACCTTAATAAGATGACGATTCTGACACTATTTCTATTTTGACTGATTTTTTAATAGGCAGAATAGATCAGACTAATGTATAATCTTTGAAAAAAGACTAACATGCTATTTTCATTTTTAGACAACTTTATGACTTAAAATACGATCAAGACAATCATTCAAGTAATTAACTTGAAATATAAATATCTGAGAGCACACTTGTCTATCCTTTGAATGATAGCCAAAAATCAAAATCTAAAGAGATACTAATCATACTCAGAAGCTCAATGATCGTTTATTAAAGCCTTCATGTCTAGTTTAATGTTAACAAATTCAACACATAAACTGCCTTGATATTAGAAGGAGGACTATAAGAATCAAGAATATGCATTCAAATGCTAAAAAATATTGGTGTAAAGATAATAGTAGTTACCACAGATTCTTTTGAAATACAAAAGCTATTAAATGATAATTTCTCTGAGATTTATGTTATATTTACCCCTACTGAAAATCTAGTATCTAAAAGCATGGAGTACACAGGACTTAAGGGTTTTGATATCATATTAGATTATTCAAGTTCATTTTAGAAGGAGAAGAGGAATATTTTAAAGATTGTTGCTCCACTAGGTAAGATAGCTACAAAATCCCATGATTTGCAGTTGGATCCTCCAGAGAGTTAAATACTGAATGGGTAATCTGCTTCAATTGGATTCCTGAATGATAAAACTTTAATTAGATCAGGCTAATATGATGGAGTTATAATGTCTATAATATAGGAATCTATAGAATAAGTCTTAAGCAAAAAGCTCATTGATAATCATAGTAGAATAATCTCTATAAAAAGCATAGCAGAGGGTGGTTAGCACGAGCTCGATGAAATCTAGAACGAATTTATTGCAATAAATATGCTGAAATAATGAATTTGGAAGTTATACAATTTCTTTATCTATTTCATTTCATGGGGTTTTGGGGTTTTGGGGTTTTGGGG